TAGAAAAAAAACTACAGCGATCACTGCAAGAGTAGCCACGTCCAGCGTTAAGCTTCAACAATAAATAGATAAATAAGCAGTGAGGTTTGTGACTACACCTTTACGCTGATAACAAATGTTTTGAGCGGATAACAAGGAGTTAATGACAATAAAACGAGTGGAATGATAACAGACATTTGTCTTCTAATGAATTTGAGGATTATGACTACGATACACTTCCGTCAGTCAAATTGTCTTTGTTTTTTTGTTTTTTTACTTCTGGTCAAGTCGGTGGTTGTGTTAGGTCCCCAGTCAAGTCTTAGGTCAAATTTTGTTACCCTTCCCAGCTTCTTTCTCTTCAGGTCAGAATGTCCGTCTTTGTTATCGAGTCGCCTTAAGCTAAGATGAATGAGGGAGCATGGATTAAGTCAACTGGAGATCTTTGTATAGGTAATAATGAAGCGTCACTTATTTAAACACCGTGAATTTATACTGATAAAATGAGAATGTTACAGAGGTTGCTGAAAATGTGTTATACAGTTTAGTCTTTTGTCAGCGTCAGGATAGAAAGGTGGGAAAATGTTGCTGTTTAATGCCTTTGGTTAACGTTAAATTGCCCAGTTCATTAATATTGCAGATAATCCCCGAGATTCATTTTGTTTCAGCAAAGTCTCTTCTAAGTTAATTATAAATCTAGCAGAAATTGTCTAAGCAAGATTGTAATGAATATTGTCTTGAAAACTTCCTGAGGAAAACGCGTCTGTCAATAGTCAATCGTTTTCATTTCGCGTCAAACTTTCAACAAATCATAGCTGTCGTATGTCGAGCTACCCCGTTCAGTCAAACATCAACGTCAACACTGAAATAAATGTCATTTACAAGAGTATTTATCACACTTCTGATACTGGCCATACATAGCTAATTGTGACTCGTGTAACACAGCAGATTTGAGTACAACTGTATTCAGATCAGGTTATCTAGTGTTCCCCCAAGTCTATAGAAAAATTACAAGACATACTAAAGACTACTATACTGAAAAGGAACGTAAAGTATGTCCATATTCTATACATTAATCATAACAAAAACAATAGTACTATTAACAATAACAACTCAAACAAAGCATTCAGTCTCGGATCAGCACATCAAAACGCAGGGTCGTGAAGCTTCGATCCTGAAAGTCGAAGCGTTTCACGCCTGGAGGGAGAGGTAGTCTGTCAAGGCTCTTCAGTTCGTTTCCAAGAAAGAATACGGGCACTCGAAGAGGAATTTGCAGTCCTCCAGGGCAGATCCTGACTGCTGGGCCTCCTTGTACTTCTCCATACCCTTAATCGAAGGACTGTAGGAAGAAAAGGGAACGGAGAGTGAAACAATGCTCTCTTCATATGATGGAATAGTGTTATGCTAGTGCTGATTCCATGATGCGAGGTATTAATATTTTTCCTTCAGGGAAGTTTCAAAAAGTAGAAATATATTAAACGGTTATCACTAGCCAATGCCATTTATGCAGTGTCAAAGGTATCAACTGTACTATGTATCATGTTACAATATAAACCTCTGCTGGAAAACACCCTTCTTTAAATTCTGCGTATAGTGCTGATGTCCCTGTATATCTGTGTGTGTGTGTGTGTGTGTGTGTGTGTGTGTGTGTGTGTGTGTGTGTGTGTGTGTGTGTGTGTGTGTGTGTGTGTGTGTGTGCGCGTGCGTGTGTGAGATAGTCAAGCATCCGCAAAGCATAATGCAACCCCAACAAGTAAACTCCTCTCACCTGATGTTCTGCAAGAACGTCCCCAGGAAGGGCATCCTCGAGGCCGCCCTCTGGAGCTCGCACACGGCGCGCCTCCTGCAGGTCTCCTCCTCGACGTCCATAACGCCAAAGGTGACATCCATTAGGTCGATACTGCGAGCAGACAAATAGCAGGTCATAAATCTGGTGTTGACTAAATGTCCCGTTTGTATAAAGCTGAATATTTCGTAGCAGTGTTTGTTAACTGAATTGTATTTATTGACATCAATGAAAATTATTTGTGTGATTTTGATTTCAAATTAACTTATTGTGTATATATATGGATATCAGAATCTAGAAAAATGTTTCCTTAATATGTTTAACTGATCAGTATTTCCAATAACAAAACAGTATAAAGATAAGGGATGATGTTAAACTTTTTATATACAGATATAAACATTTGACATTTATTTAAATTATATGTACAGTTGGCAAAAAAAATGTAATGCGAAGACATCAACTTACCTTTATAAACACACATAGAAGAAAAATGTATAAATTGAGTAAGTGTATTAGCATGAATGACTCCTCTCGTTTAAGCAGACATTTGATGTTCTTCTCTCTTTGTTTTCCTTTGTTTATTGTCATTTCTTTTACTGTCTCCGGTCCTCTTTCACTATTATATCCCCTTTTAATGAATTTATCACAGAAAATGCCTGGCAAAGTCTGTTAATCTGTTCCAGAATTTAATTCTACTATTGTTATTATTATCATTATCATTACTATTATTATTATTATTATTAGTTTTGTTTTTATGATCACCATAATCAACATTATTTTCATTATTATATCAGTGTTATTTATCTTACCGCTATTACTTTAACATGATTATTTTTCCGTTGTAATTTCCCAACTTCTTCAACCCAGTTTTATAGTAAATAAACAAGAAAATAAATTATAAACAATATATGAAAAAAAAAAAAAAATTACCTTGCCATTACTGGTTCCTAGAATTAGATATTCATATTTAAATCAAGGTTATGATAAAAAATAACATTACAGTTTTAATGGCTGGCCGATTTCATTCAAGTTACAACTGACTTGCTGTCAAAAGTCCTTGTTTTCAATAAACCTCAAATATAATCAGTTCAATCTTGTAAATATAGTTTATATATACACATTCATTTATAATCATCCTATTTACTGATCTTTGTACTATTATGTGCAATTTGGTGATTATTGTCACGATCAGCCATGCAAAGGGTATGGCTGGCATTTGGCATTTTCTGTGACCGAAGGCGATATAATGGCCCGTAGAGCAGAGAGAAACTGACCTGATTTGCCTGAAGGCGAGGAGGACGCGCACGAGACCTCCGCTCAGAGTCCCCATTCTGCCTCAGTCGCCCTCTACAGAGTCTACTTGGCGACTGGGCGAACGAACGCACATCACCCACCTGCTGAGAATTCTTCCGAGAAAGGACCTGCCGTGACCCAAGGACCGGTAACTCTGGCCTGTGCTGTAACTCGAGTAGCTCGAGTAGCCCGGGTAATCTGGGTAGTCCAAGAATGTTGGCGGTTCATCAAAATAGTCGCTTCGGGAGGCGAAGAGTTCCAGTAAAGTCTTTTCCAGTAACTCGATATCGATTCTGGTGAGCGCAGCCAAGCCCAGCTCTCGAATCAGGACGAAATATCCAGTAACCAGAGCTCCCATGATGAACAGCTGGATTACGATCTTGTCCGTTGTCTCTGTGTAGGGAGGAGGAACCATCTCTCAAACATGTTCCTCCCGAGTGGACTCACCTGCTCAACGCTCGTCCCAAGATACCCTTGCCATCGGGGTCTCCGGCCGCCCATCCGAGCCTCCCCGGCAACACTTCGAAAAGGCTAGCTGAAATGCTACGTCTACGTCTCCCGATGAACAGTGGTCCAAAGATGATGTGGAGGAGGGTGTAAACGCCGTACACGAACGTTGCTGACCCCCCAAAGGTCAGGATCAGTTCCATCAGCCTGTCTGTGGGCGTTTTCCTGTGTCATCATGAGGCCTCGCACTTACGGGAAGGGATGAACCTGATCTGACCTGAGTTTATGAGTAATGGAGCTACCTGTGCGACCTGGGTGATGGCTATTGCTTCACCTAACAATCCCTAACATCAGTAAATACCACTTGAGTGTATGGGAAATGAGCCTAATGTGACCTAAATTGTTGAATATTGATGCACCTGAAGAAACTTAGATCAATAAAAATTAGTAAGCCAAATGCAACCTGAATTAGTATTCTAAATATAGCATGTTATATTCTGGGGCAAAAGCAAATGGCAGTTAGTGAGAATGAAGCTGATTTTGAGACCTCCCACGTTACACTATATACACGGGGGGATTTTAATCGTAAAAGGGATGTTTTCAAGTCTTTTGTCACTCCATCAGTCAGAGATGATCGTTATTCTGGAAGCCTCATGTCCGTCAGTAAGCGATTTTTGTGCCCAATTCCTTACTTGTCATATACGTTTCGTGGGCTATGTCTTTTATTCTGTTAAAGAGGTAATGGTGATAACTTTACGGTTTGAAAGCATGAGTTATTATGTCAACCGAAGCTGAACCTATGAATAGACTGATATAATGTAAATGCATGAGCAGTGACTGTATTTACATATCTATATTTATATGGGTAATAAGAAACCTAATATGAAGTGAATTTATGAGCACTAACAAACTAAACATTCCTTATGTTCGTAATGCTTAGTGTCCTATTGTATTAGTAATGCTAATGCGTGTTATTATAAGCTGTAACAAGCCAAATGGTAACCAATATGGACGATGCTTGCTGTGAAGTTGATGCTTAAAATATATACAGATGTCTTTTAACTTTCTGTAGATGATATTGATGCTGATGATCGTATGAGCGGACAGGAGAGACAAGAGTTTTTCCTTCATGTTTAGTTGCGGTGTTGGTCTTTCACAGGTGTATTTTAACGACCTTGAGCGTTTTGGTGGATCAGTATACCTTGTATTTCATGTACGTTTGCTTGGGCCACGGATCTCCCATTTCCTTTTGTAACTACCCATGGTGTCCAGGGCTTTATCTTGGTTAGTCTTGCCATATCGAATTGTAGAACGTGGGAATAAAACATCGAACGCTTTGCTTCTTAATAGACAGCATGATTTTCTTCTAATGTATAACAAGTTCTTAGGCCATGTTGCCCACGCTTAAATTCTATGTGCAGAAAGGCACGACATCTCACCTTTTTGTTTCTCGAGTGCTTTCTCCCTTTCTTACCGAAGCTTCCAGCGAACCAAAAGCCAACGTGAACAAACTTGAGGTCCCGGCCGTCCTCAAGTCTTTCACGGATCCTTACATAGTCTTTCGAAGAGTCTTATCTCACGTCGTCCCGCCACACCCACCTTTTCAGCGCTTGCAAAAGGGACTCGTTGCGTCTCAAAGCTCTGTAGCCCCCGTAGTTTGTGTAGTCTGGGTAGTACGTGTGATAGTCGATGCGGGTGTTGTTCGAAGGCAACTCCTCAGGGTCGCCTTTGTCATCGAGGCTGACCAGCACGGCCAGGCCCACTTGCCGCATAGACATGATAAAGGCGGAAATGATGACGACCCCGACGGCGTACCGAAAAAGACTCTCACCTGTGTGGGGGAGGAACCTGCTCTCAGACTAGTGTTCTCGCTGAGGCGTTAAAGATGCTATTCTAGCAACACCTAAACCGGTCAAAAGTGCGAAGCGGACAAACTACAGTGCAAAGACGTTTCGAAGGGACAAGTAGGAACGTCGGTGCGTCTACTAGGCGACTACGAGGGACAAGCATCGGCAGGGGTGCAGTGGGGTTAGTTTCTCGAGCTGGGGTGAATACGCGGGTGTTTTAGTATTTATGGATGTTGAGAATTTTGTCATGATATTTGTGAAAATCGCGGTGGTGATGATATAGCTCGACCAGGTAACGGCGGAGGTAATAATGGGTTAGGCAGCTGAGAGAAGTCCTTGATGATAAAAGATTGGAAAAGTTTTCTTCGTCTTTTCTCAGTTTTGTATATTTTTAGAAAGCGTATATACAGTTATTATTCATTATAGTGCTGGCGCATCTTGTATTTGTTATTCCAGGTCGTTCGTTTATCTGGGGGGGACTTTTCCAGTATCAAATAAAATTACAATCGTTTTTCCTTTGTGTCAACGTCTTTCTGTGAGGCTTAATTCAGGCAATTTCCTGAAGGAAATGGGTCGTAAGACAGGACAGTGACTCCTCCTCCTTCATGCGTAAATTAACTGTGACATTCAAGACACAGCATGATCGTAGAAGCGGCGACCGACTTCCGACTTTCATCCTCTTTAGCTAATGTACAGGGTGGGTAGCGGCAGGGCGTGGGTTTCCCACAAGTGGAAGGGACACCATTGCCCCAGTTGAACCTTCCACAGGCTCTCTCAAAGCAGTCCTTCAGCATTCCAGTGAGGCAAGCAGCACCCGTAGGACATGCACACGCGCCACCCACCTGTTGAGGACTCGCATAAGGAGGTAATCGGAGTCTCGTTTGGCGCGGTACGTCGAGTCCTGGCGGTTGTTCGCAGGGTATCCTGAGTAAGGACCATAGGGGTTCGAGTAGACATCCTTCCGCTCTATCGCTCCCGCGGTCTTCAGCCAAATCAGGAGCTCCCTCACCAGCAGAAGGATGCCGACAAAGAAGACGACGACGATGGGGAGCTGAGTGAATAGCGCCAATTGCGTGCCTGTACGGGAGGAGGAACCATCGTCTCAGACAAGTTCCTCCAATTGAAACTCACCTGTTCAACACACGTCCGAGGACACTCGAAACACCCCCGCTCAGAGCTCGCGGCGTTTCGGTATAGGGGGCGAAGAGGAGCAACAGAATGTAGAGAGAACCAGCGAGTAGGAGTCCTCCCATGGAAAGCTGCACCACCAATGTCCTCACGGCGACTGTAGGGGGTTGCGGTCCGGGGTAAGCGGTAAGGCATCGAGAGTCTATATACTGTAAAACTACTTCTCTTTCTCCTCTTACTGAAAGGCCCTGCACTTCCGAATCCCTAGCAAGGTATTCAGGCCAAAGGAATTCATGAAAATGAATCTTGAATGTTGAGTGTGATGATGTGGCTGTGATGGATAGTGTTTGAGGCGGGTATTGGCCAAGGATGTCTAACCCAAGCGAAATAATTAGATGAGTGGCATATCAACATGCAAAATATACACAGAGAGACATGTGAAATGGTAATCAAAACATATTGTGAAAATAGTGGCGACCTGTGTCAGTGTTAAAAATAGTATGCTCAATATAAATAAAAATAAAATAAACTTAAAGAATTCGTCCATGTTTTCACAGAATGTAATTATGGAATTCTTTGGCAAACTGAATTCTGTAAAAGTAGTGGTATTGATTTTACACCGGTAACAATAGTAAGATCGGGGTCGAAAGACAGGACAGTGACTCCTCCTCCTTCATGCGTAAATTAACTGTGACATTCAAGACACAGCATGATCGTAGAAGCGGCGACCGACTTCCGACTTTCATCCTCTTTAGCTAATGTACAGGGTGGGTAGCGGCAGGGCGTGGGTTTCCCACAAGTGGAAGGGACACCATTTGCCCCAGTTGAACCTTCCACAGGCTCTCTCAAAGCAGTCCTTCAGCATTCCAGTGAGGCAAGCAGCACCCGTAGGACATGCACACGCGCCACCCACCTGTTGAGGACTCGCATAAGGAGGTAATCGGAGTCTCGTTTGGCGCGGTACGTCGAGTCCTGGCGGTTGTTCGCAGGGTATCCTGAGTAAGGACCATAGGGGTTCGAGTAGACATCCTTCCGCTCTATCGCTCCCGCGGTCTTCAGCCAAATCAGGAGCTCCCTCACCAGCAGAAGGATGCCGACAAAGAAGACGACGACGATGGGGAGCTGAGTGAATAGCGCCAATTGCGTGCCTGTACGGGAGGAGGAACCATCGTCTCAGACAAGTTCCTCCAATTGAAACTCACCTGTTCAACACACGTCCGAGGACACTCGAAACACCCCCGCTCAGAGCTCGCGGCGTTTCGGTATAGGGGGCGAAGAGGAGCAACAGAATGTAGAGAGAACCAGCGAGTAGGAGTCCTCCCATGGAAAGCTGCACCACCAATGTCCTCACGGCGACTGTAGGGGGTTGCGGTCCGGGGTAAGCGGTAAGGCATCGAGAGTCTATATACTGTAAAACTACTTCTCTTTCTCCTCTTACTGAAAGGCCCTGCACTTCCGAATCCCTAGCAAGGTATTCAGGCCAAAGGAATTCATGAAAATGAATCTTGAATGTTGAGTGTGATGATGTGGCTGTGATGGATAGTGTTTGAGGCGGGTATTGGCCAAGGATGTCTAACCCAAGCGAAATAATTAGATGAGTGGCATATCAACATGCAAAATATACACAGAGAGACATGTGAAATGGTAATCAAAACATATTGTGAAAATAGTGGCGACCTGTGTCAGTGTTAAAAATAGTATGCTCAATATAAATAAAAATAAAATAAACTTAAAGAATTCGTCCATGTTTTCACAGAATGTAATTATGGAATTCTTTGGCAAACTGAATTCTGTAAAAGTAGTAGTATTGATTTTACACCGTAACAATAGTAAGATCCTAACAGTTCATACTTGTTTTATCAAACTAAAAGTCAATGAAGAAAGGGTAATTCAATGGTAAAATTATTAAAAGATATCTGTCAATATACATCATTCTAGCAAAAAAAAATAATAAGAACGGAATTATATAACAACGAGAAGAAAACATAATTCTTTATTAATTTCATGACAAAAGATCTTTTAAAATATGAATACAGAAAATATATGAGGGAATTATGCTACCAAAGACAGCATTTTCAGAGAGAGGAAAAGAAAAAAATGATCACCGGACAAAGCAGAGAAGAAATCAAAAAGACATTAAGGGAAATAAAAAAAAACAAAGTAGACAATAAAATACAACGTAGAAGAAATAAATATAAATATGACAAAGAACAGAAGAAAAGAAGACGAACAGAATGAAACCAACAAACAAAAAGCATAGTTAAAAAAAAAACACGAATGAAAACTTACAAAAAAAGAGAAAGAAAGCAAGAAAGAAAAAAAAAAACAATGAAAGTTATCATTACCTGCATCAGCCACCGTGAGAATTGTCTTCTCGCTCTCTTCCATGTTCGTATAATCGAGTTCCTCTTCAGCTCTGACACAGGTCGCGCTGAGGAACACCAGGACTAAGAGGTTCCTGAGTCTCGTCGCCATGTTTGCTGTTGGTGGGGTGAAGGAAGGGAAGGTGGGGTTAGCTAACGGGGTTTGAGTTCGATGTTGGGGAGGTTGGAGGAGAAATGAGAGGAGGTGTTGGGAGAGGGGGTGAAGGAGAAATGAAAGAGCGTGTTGGGGAGAGGGGGGAGGTTGGAGGAGAAATGAAAAGGGGTGTTGGGAGAGGGGGTGAAGGAGAAATGAAAGAGGATGTTGGGGGGAGGGGGAGGTTGGTGGAGAAATGAAAAGGGGTGTTGGGGGAGGGGGCGAAGGAGAAATGAAAGAGGATGTTGGGGGGAGGGGGGAGGTTGGAGGAGAAATGAAAAGGGATGTTGGGGGAGGGGGCGAAGGAGAAATGAAAGAGGATGTTGGGGAGAGGGAGGAGGTTGGAGGAGAAATGAAAAGGGGTGTTGGGGGAGGGGGTGAAGGAGAAATGAAAAAGGGTGTTGGGGGGAGGGGGGAGGTTGGAGGAGAAGTGAAAAAAGATGTTGGGGAGGTGGGAAGCTGGAGAAATGAAAAGGGGTGTCGGGGGAGGAGGAGGCTACAGAGATATAAAGAGGGTGAAGGAGAAATGAAAAAGGATGTTGGGGGAGGTTGGAGAAAGGAAAAAGGGGTCTTGGAAGGGAAGTATAAATAATTGCAAGTGAGATGGAGAGAAAGATGAATCAGATAACCGTGGTCGTCATTACTGCTGCCGATACAGAGATAACAATTAGATACCGGAGATGTTAAGGCGTCGAATCAGCTGTTATGGAAATAGACTGGGTCGTTCTGAGACTACTTAAAGCTTGAATTTCGGGGAGACTCAAGGAAAAAAGACCTCGATTGAAAGTGTGACAGCGGGGGGGGGGGGGGTACTTGGGTTGTTAAAATGGAAACAGAGATGACTGCGGTTGATGGTTATAAGGAGTAAAGATCAGTGAAGAAATACAGGGAAGAAGAAGTGGAGTCGCTTGATTTATAATGGAAATATTCCTAAAAATATTCTCGGTGAGGTAACGTTTGCGTAGAAGCTCGATCAAGTATTGGTTCTTGTCCTGATAAAGAATAC